ATTTTACCTTTCACAAATACATCCTGCAATGCTACACTTGATTGGGACAGCAATGCCCAAAGCTCTTCCTCACTAAGAGGGCCTGCACGCACCTCAAGAATCTCATCTAGTGTGACGGAATTGGCTGTCAGGGCGGGCATGGTTTCAAACTATCTTGGTACTCTGAACAGACAAAAGCAGCATTGAATTACTTTTCTAAAAATGGATTATTGACCCATTGATAGATGTGGGGATTCAAAAAATTTAATACATCCAGTAACTTCAAGAGAAATGCATATCAAGGTTTTTTTACTACTGAAAATATACCAAATTTCAGGCAACGAAAATTTTATTGAGTAGTTAAAAACATGGTAAAATATGTGGTATATATTACCTGAAATAAAAATGCCTGGAAATCAAAATAAAACATGGACTCCGAAGTTTTCTCTGCTTCATCTTTTACTGTCAGTCTTGCTGTTCTTCAAAACCATGGGCCCACATTTTTGCCACTAAAATGGAAATAGTAAATTTCTCATGATAAGTTATTACATGTATAAAGTAAAAACATTATGACACAATCTACAAGCCTGTTTAATTAATATCAACTTTCTTACTACATGTACAATGACTTGTACAGTGTCCTTGTAAAATTTACAAACAATCTACAGAGTAAGTACACACATTAATCAAATTCAAAAGCCACGGTAACGCACTATACAATAAAAAATTTTGACTGACTGTTCACTTGACTAAAGAACCCATGTACACATGGCAAACAAAAACCATTCTTTTAAGAAGACATTAATGCTATTCATAGCTGAAGTGAGTTACATAGAAACAACACACCACTAGGCTAGTAAAGTGTAACAAATTTATATTTACCACTGATCACAATGATAACATCAGCCATTTCATTTCAGTAACAAAGTGACATGTGACTAACTGGGTGTTGAGCTCAGACTTAAGAGGTGATAAGAGGTGTAACGTTATCAGAGCGTAAGTGGGAGAACAAGTCATCATTGTCAACTGCCCAACATTTACAGTCACTTGCACACTTGTGCATTCATGCATCTGTGATTGGTTAAAGGTAGATCTCATCCAAGAGAGTACCCATAATAATTTTTACTCCTTATCAATTAGCATTACGGAGCAAGTGACTGATCTAAACACCACTTTCTTGTCCTATATATCAAAACTTAAACTACATGTAATTTCATATATATACTGTCTGTTTTCCTGCACCTTGCTAGATACATAATACATTATTTTGTGTTACAGATTGTATTATGAAGCCTTAACTCTCTAATGACACCTCTCAGTAGACAGCTGACAGTTGCTTTCCCACTGGAAATAACTGTCAGTCATGGGTACAGCTAAAGGTGTATACTTGTGAATGGAAAGAGACACTAAGAACATAAAAAAGTGGTTCCAGATCACTGCTCAAACCCAGACCATTCCATCCAAAGTCAAATGCGCCAACCATTAGGCCATCACATCTCCCAATAAATTATAGTCAAGTATTGAGTAAAAAATAAGATGACAACACATTGCCTCAAGTGTAATGACTCAAGAACCTTTGCAAAAACACAAGCTAAGAGAAATTATTAAAATTTCAAGTTTCAGTCCATTAACACAAGTTGTCTCAAGTGCCTCTTGTACATGAACATTATGTTCTCAATCGAAATAACTCATCTCAAGGTTCTAGCTGCTTAAATTTTATGTTTCAGAGAAAGCCAGCCAAAATTAATATAATACAATAATACAACTGCAGATCTAGACATTTAATACAGTCCACCTTAATTAACCTGGTTGATAAAAGGTGTTAAAAGCAGATTCCTTGCCTATATTGTGCATGTATTGAAGATTCCGAAGTGACTCAGTATCAAAAACCTTTTAATTTTAATTTAGTAACACAATACAGAATAAAACTATCTGATTTCAAAGTAGAATTCTCTTTTAACTTTAAAGGCAAACTACACTGATGGAATTATCGGGGGTCTGCAAAATGCAGTTTTCACATCATCATGATCTAAATCTTGTTCACAAGTCTGTATGAGCAGTTAAGTAGTCACCATCAACCTCAATAGAACCCACTTCTCCATAACAACTCACTGTAGATACCATCTACAAGAAACATCTGATCAATATACTTGAAATATCAGTTGGACCGCAAAACACATTTTAACAAAATACATGTAAATACTCAGTATGAACAGGTAGACAAAGCTTGCCCCTGCGGTCGCCCCCTGCGATGGTTAATAAGACTTTGGTGACTAATATAGTCTATGGTATCTGCCTGCGGTACTTACATCTTATAATTAGCCAAAAATTATTTTTTACAACTGCTCATAATTTACCACTAATATTGAAATGTTGCTCATTACATCTTATTTCTTGAACACCTCAGATTCAACACATGGAGGAAGGCAGGGGTGGTGGCAAAAGACCACGTTGCTCAGAGAAGAAGGATTGATGGCCCCATTCTCCACAAGGAGAGAAGGGAATAATGATGATGACATCTTATACTGTATCTCTCAAACCTTTTATCAAAGCTCTTATATCACTGAATGTACACATATCACTCTTGTTATCAAAGGATAAACAACGCAATATTATATTTCCAGTTGCAATACACAGATTTTTTAAAAAAATGCTCCTAAAAGAATTGAAATACATGTAACTATTATGGAAAAGAGGACTGTCTATCATATTTCAGAGCTTACATGAAACAGGATACAAATCAAAGCTTAAAACTAACAGTCAACTTACACAGCCTTAGATAGCAAGCCTATTTCAAATCCTTGCAACATGTCTTTTGCTTTTAAATTAGGTACCCATGTTTGAAACATGAAAATTATCATATTACAGAGTGCTGCAAATTGAAAATTCAATATCGGGTATTCTGAAAAATATTAAGCCACGGGCAATGATATGACAATGATCTGCAGTCATGTTGCACGTACTGCAGATGAAGCCGGTGGCTACACGTATAAATGTAAGCCTGTGAAGTGACATCAAAACAAGCCCAATAGGTGGCTTGATAACATATAAAGCTCCTCCTGACTACCAAGACAAGGAGATCTAGAGCAAAAACAATTAACAAAACTATTTTGGGAAAAATAAGAAATGACTAATGTAAGCTCAAACACAAGGGGAAATGGTTAAACATCTGCCAAATATCAGTCTATAGCTTGCAAGGGATAAAAGGTGTTTATAAGAAGTGACCACTGCTTTGGTACTGTAGAAACTTCCATAAAATATTAACAAGCATAAATATTATTAGTGTAATGGTACAGGGTGGCTGAGCAATTTGGTTTGTGGAAATAAGAAGGTCTCATTATGTCAATCTTTCCAATTTTTACTAGCCTTTTCACAAAATTAAAAACAGCTCAGAGTTTTGAGAGTCAACAGCAAGAGAGAAAATATTGTATGTTGACAATTAAAATTCTAAATAGAATTTAAGCTTATGAGCAGAATCCAATTTTGAAATTCAAATGAACCAGCAGGCTAAAAATACACTGTTACACATTACCTTGGAAAGAATGCATTAGAAAATCAATTAACATCACTTAACATATACATGGTCAAAAATCTAAATCTAAAACTGTTTACTCTAAAGCCAGGATTTTCGCAAACAATCATCTACACAAGGCGATCAAACTCGCTTCTTTAGCTTTAAGAATGAGTTGCTTCATTTTTGCAAACCATTACTGCAGCTTCATAGAATTAAGCTTACGTTGACCGTATAAACAAAAAAGTTTTAAAGCAATATTCTGGTTTCCGATCCTAAACGAACCGCAAATAATTGGTTACACTATTCTTACTTGTGGCTAAGTACAAAAAAATTAAATTTTCAATCGAACAACAATGTTCTGAAATAATCAAGCAGACCAGAAGAACGGAGAACATAAGACTTTACCCTTAAAATTGTTTAACACCCTCCACCTCAGCTACTTTGTAATTCACCTTCAAAACAACTACTGTGTTTAAAAGATAAAATGAGATTACCGGAAAAGTGAGAATCATTTGTAGAGTCCCATCGCTTCAGCTAAATATTATGCCTAAGGTAAACTTATCTTATAACAACGATTTACTAACTGGCACTGAATTGTCTTCTACATATCAAATACCCAGTGAATCAAATACCTTTCTTTTCATTACAACTCTTCTCTTGACGACGGTAAAGTCTTTTCGTGTGAAAACGGTCCCACCTTCCAATCTACGTTATCGCTTTTCGATTTAGAAATCAACTAGAGATACAGTGGAGTCTATTAAACCGCCGATACGATACGAAACACACGCACACATGGAAGCTTACCGCAACCAGCTGAAAGACGACCAAAACAGCTGATACAGAAATCCACCTTGAGCAACCCACGTCCTATGGAAATTTCACTTCCACTAGTGTACTATATTAAGCACTGTTATAGAATACTGAAAATCCTTCCTCTATTCGTTGCACCTGGTGCATGTAAAGGATGTCCGATCGGATCTTGTTCACGGCCTCACAACAGCCATCACAACGACTCAACGATAAACACTCCGTCAGGATTGGCCACAAAGAACCCACGTGACTAGTTGATTCCACACCAATGAGTCATCGCCGACATTTTGGCTCGTTATTCAAATTTCGCCTACGCAAAATAGCGTAAACGAAATGGATAACGTGGACGAGGATAAAATATATTAAAATATAATAATAAAATTTCATTTGGAGAAAAGAATCATTCCTTCTTGTGGTATGAAAAGGCCAGGGAAAAACAAATAAAAATCGGGTAACACAGTAAGTACCTGGTAAGCAGGTAAGCTTAATTTATTTAAGCTTACTACAATTTAATGCTTCAGGAGCTAAGGAAGGATCAACTCGGATTGCTAGTTTGATTTAAATAAGAAAAGCAACTATTTAAGAACAGTCGAAGTAAAACCAAGTTGTCATTCTTATCTAAATTCGATTTGATCCGGTCCGGGTTTTGTTCCTGTCCGAGAGCGTTTAATACATATTTTTATAAACACAAAATGCGGAAAATGGCACTACGGCCAGTTAGACTAAGTAATGGCGCTCCGGTTAGCCTAAATAGCGCTCAGGTTAGCCTAAATACTTGGGTAAATATAACTTACTCGACAGTGGTTAGCTCTCAATACCCTTTATACAGACACCCGTGCTATACCCCGCACCCGTCCCCTGGGCGTATCCCACATAATCATTGCAGAGACCTTTACAACAAAAATCCGGGAGATCGCTAATTTTACCTTCTTAGTCCTAGAAAAAGGTTGTTCAAAGTAGAGTCAAAGTAGACCTATCCTAAATGCGTCAAATGTCAAAAAAAAAAAATTATCTGCCGGAAACGCCAAAAATTGGTAAAATATGTCTGTAAAATGGATCAGTTTTTTTTTTTTTTCCTACGTATATTGTACAGGAGATTAGTACCCTGCTTGCCAGAGAATTTTTTTTTTTTTCGAGGGGAAGATCGTTTTTTTCTTTTTTTTTTTTTTTTTTTNGAATCTCATCTAGTGTGACGGAATTGGCTGTCAGGGCAGGCATGGTTTCAAACTATCTTGGTACTCTGAACAGACAAAAGCAGCATTGAATTACTTTTCTAAAAATGGATTATTGACCCATCGATAGATGTGGGGATTCAAAAATTTTAGTACATTCAGTAACTTCAAGAGAAATGCATATCAAGGTTTTTTTCCTACTGAAAATATACTAAATTTCAGGCAACGAAAATTTTATTGAGTGGTTAAAAACATGGTAAAATATGTGGTATATATTACCTGAAATAAAAATGCCTGAAAATCAAAATAAAACATGGATTCCGAAGTTTTCTCTGCTTCATCTTTTGCTGTCAGTCTTGCTGTTCTTCAAAACCATGGGCCCACATTTTTGCAACTAGAGTGGAAATAGTAAATTTCTCATGTCAAGTTATTACATGTATAACGTAAAAACATTATGACACAATCTACAAGCCTGCTTAATTAATATCAACTTTCTTACTACATGTACAATGACTCGTACAGTGTCCTTGTAAAATTTACAAACAATCTACAGTGTAAGCACACACATTAATCAAATTCAAAAGCCATGGTAATGCACTATACAATAAAAAAATTTTGACTGACTGTTCACTTGACTAAAGAACCCATGTACACATGGCAAACAAAAACCATTCTTTTAAGAAGACATTAATTCTATTTATAGCTGAAGTGAGTTACATAGAAACAAAACACCACTAGGCTAGTAAAGTGTAACAAATTTATATTTACCACTGATCACACTGATAACATCAGCCACTTCATTTCAGTAACAAAGTGACATGTGACTAACTGGGTGTTGAGCTCAGACTTAAGAGGTGATAATATTACATCATGTGTAACGTTATCAGAGCGTAAGTGGGAGAACAAGTCATCATTGTCAACTGCCCAACATTTACAGTCACTTGCACACTTGTGCATTCATGCATCTGTGATTGGTTAAAGGTAGATCTCATCCAAGAGAGTACCCATAATAATTTTTACTCCTTATCAATTAGCATTACGGAGCAAGTGACTGATCTAAACACCACTTTCTTGTCCTATATATCAAAACTTAAACTACATGTAATTTCATATATATACTGTCTGTTTTCCTGCACCTTGCTAGATACATAATACATTATTTTGTGTTACAGATTGTATTATGAAGCCTTAACTCTCTAATGACACCTCTCAGTAGACAGCTGACAGTTGCTTTCCCACTGGAAATAACTGTCAGTCATGGGTACAGCTAAAGGTGTATACTTGTGAATGGAAAGAGACACTAAGAACATAAAAAAGTGGTTCCAGATCACTGCTCAAACCCAGACCATTCCATCCAAAGTCAAATGCGCCAACCATTAGGCCATCACATCTCCCAATAAATTATAGTCAAGTATTGAGTAAAAAATAAGATGACAACACATTGCCTCAAGTGTAATGACTCAAGAACCTTTGCAAAAACACAAGCTAAGAGAAATTATTAAAATTTCAAGTTTCAGTCCATTAACACAAGTTGTCTCAAGTGCCTCTTGTACATGAACATTATGTTCTCAATCAAAATAACTCATCTTAAGGTTCTAGCTCCTTAAATTTTATGTTTCAGAGAAAGCCAGCCAAAATTAATATAATACAATAATACAACTGCAGATCTAGACATTTAATACAGTCCACCTTAATTAACCTGGTTGATAAAAGGTGTTAAAAGCAGATTCCTTGCCTATATTGTGCATGTATTGAAGATTCCGAAGTGACTCAGTATCAAAAACCTTTTAATTTTAATTTAGTAACACAATACAGAATAAAACTATCTGATTTCAAAGTAGAATTCTCTTTTAACTTTAAAGGCAAACTACACTGATGGAATTATCGGGGGTCTGCAAAATACAGTTTTCACATCATCATGATCTAAATCTTGTTCACAAGTCTGTATGGGCAGTTAAGTAGTCACCATCAACCTCAATAGAACCCACTTCTCCATAACAACTCACTGTAGATACCATCTACAAGAAACATCTGATCAATATACTTGAAATATCAGTTGGACCGCAAAACACATTTTAACAAAATACATGTAAATACTCAGTATGAACAGGTAGACAAAGCTTGCCCCTGCGGTCGCCCCCTGCGATGGTTAATAAGACTTTGGTGACTAATATAGTCTATGGTATCTGCCTGCGGTACTTACATCTTATAATTAGCCAAAAATTATTTTTTACAACTGCTCATAATTTACCACTAATATTGAAATGTTGCTCACTACATCTTATTTCTTGAACACCTCAGATTCAACACATGGAGGAAGGCAGGGGTGGTGGCAAAAGACCACGTTGCTCAGAGAAGAAGGATTGATGGCCCCATTCTCCACAAGGAGAGAAGGGAATAATGATGATGACATCTTATACTGTATCTCTCAAACCTTTTATCAAAGCTCTTATATCACTGAATGTACACATATCACTCTTGTTATCAAAGGATAAACAACGCAATATTATATTTCCAGTTGCAATACACAGATTTTTTAAAAAAATGCTCCTAAAAGAATTGAAATACATGTAACTATTATGGAAAAGAGGACTGTCTATCATATTTCAGAGCTTACATGAAACAGGATACAAATCAAAGCTTAAAACTAACAGTCAACTTACACAGCCTTAGATAGCAAGCCTATTTCAAATCCTTGCAACATGTCTTTTGCTTTTAAATTAGGTACCCATGTTTGAAACATGAAAATTATCATATTACAGAGTGCTGCAAATTGAAAATTCAATATCGGGTATTCTGAAAAATATTAAGCCACGGGCAATGATATGACAATGATCTGCAGTCATGTTGCACGTACTGCAGACGAAGCCGGTGGCTACACGTATAAATGTAAGCCTGTGAAGTGACATCAAAACAAGCCCAATAGGTGGCTTGATAACATATAAAGCTCCTCCTGACTACCAAGACAAGGAGATCTAGAGCAAAAACAATTAACAAAACTATTTTGGGAAAAATAAGAAATGACTAATGTAAGCTCAAACACAAGGGGAAATGGTTAAACATCTGCCAAATATCAGTCTATAGCTTGCAAGGGATAAAAGGTGTTTATAAGAAGTGACCACTGCTTTGGTACTGTAGAAACTTCCATAAAATATTAACAAGCATAAATATTATTAGTGTAATGGTACAGGGTGGCTGAGCAATTTGGTTTGTGGAAATAAGAAGGTCTCATTATGTCAATCTTTCCAATTTTTACTAGCCTTTTCACAAAATTAAAAACAGCTCAGAGTTTTGAGAGTCAACAGCAAGAGAGAAAATATTGTATGTTGACAATTAAAATTCTAAATAGAATTTAAGCTTATGAGCAGAATCCAATTTTGAAATTCAAATGAACCAGCAGGCTAAAAATACACTGTTACACATTACCTTGGAAAGAATGCATTAGAAAATCAATTAACATCACTTAACATATACATGGTCAAAAATCTAAATCTAAAACTGTTTACTCTAAAGCCAGGATTTTCGCAAACAATCATCTACACAAGGCGATCAAACTCGCTTCTTTAGCTTTAAGAATGAGTTGCTTCATTTTTGCAAACCATTACTGCAGCTTCATAGAATTAAGCTTACGTTGACCGTATAAACAAAAAAGTTTTAAAGCAATATTCTGGTTTCCGATCCTAAACGAACCGCAAATAATTGGTTACACTATTCTTACTTGTGGCTAAGTACAAAAAAATTAAATTTTCAATCGAACAACAATGTTCTGAAATAATCAAGCAGACCAGAAGAACGGAGAACATAAGACTTTACCCTTAAAATTGTTTAACACCCTCCACCTCAGCTACTTTGTAATTCACCTTCAAAACAACTACTGTGTTTAAAAGATAAAATGAGATTACCGGAAAAGTGAGAATCATTTGTAGAGTCCCATCGCCTCAGCTAAATATTATGCCTAAGGTAAACTTATCTTATAACAACGATTTACTAACTGGCACTGAATTGTCTTCTACATATCAAATACGCAGTGAATCAAATACCTTTCTTTTCATTACAACTCTTCTCTTGACGACGGTAAAGTCTTTCGTGTGAAAACGGTCCCACCTTCCAATCTACGTTATCGCTTTTCGATTTAGAAATCAACTAGAGATACAGTGTAGTCTATTAAACCGCCGATACGATACGAAACACACGCACACATGGAAGCTTACCGCAACCAGCTGAAAGACGACCAAAACAGCTGATACAGAAATCCACCTTGAGCAACCCACGTCCTATGGAAATTTCACTTCCACTAGTGTACTATATTAAGCACTGTTATAGAATACTGAAAATCCTTCCTCTATTCGTTGCACCTGGTGCATGTAAAGGATGTCCGATCGGATCTTGTTCACGGCCTCACAACAGCCATCACAACGACTCAACGATAAACACTCCGTCAGGATTGGCCACAAAGAACCCACGTGACTAGTTGATTCCACACCAATGAGTCATCGCCGACATTTTGGCTCGTTATTCAAATTTCGCCTACGCAAAATAGCGTAAACGAAATGGATAACGTGGACGAGGATAAAATATATTAAAATATAATAATAAAATTTCATTTGGAGAAAAGAATCATTCCTTCTTGTGGTATGAAAAGGCCAGGGAAAAACAAATAAAAATCGGGTAACACAGTAAGTACCTGGTAAGCAGGTAAGCTTAATTTATTTAAGCTTACTACAATTTAATGCTTCAGGAGCTAAGGAAGGATCAACTCGGATTGCTAGTTTGATTTAAATAAGAAAAGCAACTATTTAAGAACAGTCGAAGTAAAACCAAGTTGTCATTCTTATCTAAATTCGATTTGATCCGGTCCGGGTTTTGTTCCTGTCCGAGAGCGTTTAATACATATTTTTATAAACACAAAATGCGGAAAATGGCACTACGGCCAGTTAGACTAAGTAATGGCGCTCCGGTTAGCCTAAATAGCGCTCAGGTTAGCCTAAATACTTGGGTAAATATAACTTACTCGACAGTGGTTAGCTCTCAATACCCTTTATACAGACACCCGTGCTATACCCCGCACCCGTCCCCTGGGCGTATCCCACATAATCATTGCAGAGACCTTTACAACAAAAATCCGGGAGATCGCTAATTTTACCTTCTTAGTCCTAGAAAAAGGTTGTTCAAAGTAGAGTCAAAGTAGACCTATCCTAAATGCGTCAAATGTCAAAAAAAAAAAATTATCTGCCGGAAACGCCAAAAATTGGTAAAATATGTCTGTAAAATGGATCAGTTTTTTTTTTTTTTCCTACGTATATTGTACAGGAGATTAGTACCCTGCTTGCCAGAGAATTTTTTTTTTTTTCGAGGGGAAGATCGTTTTTTTCTTTTTTTTTTTTTTTTTTTTTTTCATGTTTTCGTGCTGAAGCCGCTATTAGTGAGCGGCGAAGGAGACTTGGCATAGATAGGCATCATGAGCTCTCGTCTCACCCAGTAGTGCCATTTCGTCATTTCACCATTTCGCGTTTTAAACACGCCCCCTGCCTGATCTATAAATTTCATTGCTTCGCTAAAAGTGGGACTCTGAAGCGGTAAAATGGGAACTGGGATTTTTTATTAGGAAAATGGGTTTGGGGTCACTGGGAAACAAAAAACTGGAATTAGAATGGGACTAGGATTTGGGCAGAAAACAGGCTGGAAAATGCGACTTGGGCCAGAAGCTCCTGCTTGGGCAAAATTTGGGCTGGGAATGGTATCCAGCTCCCTCTCCCTTCCAGCACCCCACCCCACCCTCTCCCCCAGCACTTGTAAGACTCTTCCTGCGGGACTAAAAAATATCCTGGTCTTAGAAAATTGTGTTTTTAAATATTTACTAACTGGTCTTAACCCATGGGGTTAAGACATGTATGACATGGTTATCATTTGTTGTAAAATAAAAAATTGTAACATTGGAAAAATAGTAAAATTCCCTGCGTTCTTTAAATATTTTAATCCGAGTCAGGGGATCATCTTTTACAAGGAGAAGCAAGAGGCGAGTTTTCTCCTAGAAAATCAATGTCTTAGTTATATTTGATTCAACTTCGAGAGTTTCGCGTTTTGCGTGCGTGATGTCGTCACATTTCGTGGGCGGAGCAATGAAAATTTCCGAGAGGAGACTGGTTACCAATTGGGACTATTTTGAGTCAGCGAGCAGTCGAGTTACGCCGAACGTCTGAGAATATTGCTATTTTTCTTCACTTCTGTATGCTATTCTTGTGAATTCTATATCAAGTAACGATGCCCAAGGATAGTACAGAAGTTAGCTGCTGTGTCAAGTATCTTCTCTTCTTTTTCAATGTGTTTTTCTGGGTAAGTTTGCACGACAAATATACGAATATACACATCATGGTGATTTGTTGACAGGTAACACGACCTTCTCGCGAAAATGAATATAAGACCATGCATAACACCATCACCTGATCTTTTCTTCTTCCGGTTTGAATAACATGATGTTACAAGTTTTACCTTGACAAATATGATTTCAGTACTAGTACAACAAAAGTTGTTAGTTCCCTATTTCCGTTTCATTTCGTAAGGAACTATATCCATCTACGTCTGAGGCTTTCAAATGTTATAGTACTTAGGGCAGGTTCAAGTTTTGTTGCGTTTTCCGTTTTTTTCCTTTTCATACAATAAGCTTTCGATGAAGCTCACTCACTCATCCTCTTCGTCCCTTCGTGAGTGGAGCATGCGCATAAGGCCACGATGAAGCTATGGAGAGTTAAATGATCATGAATCGCAAGGCACGAGTTTAGTGTTATTTGTGAAAGATGTTGATTTGTTATAGAGCAATATTAATAGCCTGTACATGTTAATGTGAAAAATCAGGATTCCATATTTTCCTTCCTGGATCAGTGTTCTAAAGCACGCTACCTTCTGTCTGATTTGACTTTTTGAAGACAGATCATATTTATTCATACTAGCAGAAGCATAAGCTTCTGATACTCCATGAAGTTATTTTAAGCATTGTTTTTGAGTTTTGAGTGGCATATTTGTCATAAAATATGCCATAGGGGACTTGATTTTTAAGTATCAGGGTCCGGAATTGTGACCATCTGGTTGCCAATGGAATGTTGGGGATCTGAGGCTTGTTTCTCGAAAGCCCCAGAAACTTTTCGGGCCCACAAAGCCATTTTTAGATCATCTGTACCTAAAAACTGAGACATGTGTACACCCACAACTCTTTATATGAAGAGAACCTCTATCATATTAAGAATATGTGAATATCACAGCTCTATGAATCATAAGGTTTGAGATTTTGCTACGGCTTTCTGGGTGCAAAAACTTTTCAGGATCTTTGAGAAACTGACCCCAGGCCCTGGTTGTTTAAAAGGTGGATAATGCTATCCACCAGGTAAATCACTATCCAGCAGGTAGCATGGTTTGTTTTGTTAACACTTATCAGCTGGATAGTAATTTGTCTGCTGCATAGCATTTTCCAGCCTTCGAACATTCAGGGCCAGTATTTCAAAGTCAGTGGTCAGCAGGCTTTTAGTGTCTAACTTTTGGTGTTTTCAATCAAATTTTAAAATTATGAATTTCAAACTTTCATAATGAGAAAGTACTAAAGAACTCATTCAAGGTTGGGATTTATCGTGGCCTTCAGAAGATGTTGATCTCTTCGTGTTAACTAAAGAAGATCTGTAGTGAAAGAATGAAAGATGCGAATACTGTAGTCTATTTTAAAAAATATGTATGAAAAATGCCTTTGCATAAAGGAGAGTCTCTGACTCACTTGGAATCATTCAAGGATAAGAAGAATATCTTTTAAGCAAAGAGATGTCTTTAAATTTACTTCTTCTATACATATTTTCATGTTTCGTTTTGGAACAACATTTTACAGCCCCTGTTGGCGAGCAAAAATTTCCTTATGGCAGATGGAAAAATGTTAATCTTGACACCATGTTTGACTCATTAGTGACTATCTGCACTTGTAACTAATGATATATTATTTCAGACCACAGTGAAAATGTAGATAATAAATTATTATCATTGAAAGTTCCACACATACACTTAAATAATCCTCTCAGGAACTTCTGGCAACTCCTAAAGCTGGACAGAAAGCATACACTCAGAAAAAGAGCCTTGTTTACAGTACCAGCACCAAGACTATGGAATACTATATTTCCATGCAACATAAGGACTAGTAATTTTAGTGACACTTTTAATTAAAACAATGAAAAAAAAATTGCCAAAAAAATGACACAAAGGTTAGTAGTTTTGATTATAATTGAGCTGATATTAAGTTTGCCTCTTATTTAGATGTATAAATTTATATATAGTAAAATATTAAGCTTACTGAAATTTCAATCAACTTTTCAATTCTAGATGCACTTACAATTACTCAAACCTAAAACATTGATTCAAAACCAAATGTATCTGGTTATGTCCCATCAAGTAATAAAATCAGTTTTAATTATTACTTGCCAACAAAAATTGATAGACTTAAGGGCGGTGCCTACTAAATACAAAGGTTTTTGCGCCAGGTTAGGACCATGCGGAAAAAGTAGACCTTTGCACGGGCTATTGGAATCCACAAAGAAAAATGGGGGTAGCCATGCATTTTTTTTTTGAGATAATTAGCCTTGAATCTCAGCAAAAATGCTGACTTCAGCATTTTTCTAAAAAAAGAAGGAAAGGATATTTCTTCACAGATTTCCTTAGAATTCGCCTTTACATACAGAAAAGCAAACACATTATTATTTTATAAAGATCTTAAAACTTCATGGTAAATAGTAAAATAAAAACCATTTTTGGTATGTTTTTAATAACAAAATCTTTGCAACAGCGCTTTTGGCATCTCTGACAGCCTTCCTCTGGTTCAGCTTAAATACAGTCTAAATACCTTTTGCTCACAACCAGAAACTAATTACGTGTTGAATAGGCTTGCCATTTCCATTTCACAACATAAAATGTAGGGGTAACCACACATTTATTAAAGTTATTGATCTTTATTGAAAAGTTTTACGGTGCCCGTTACATTTTTTCCTGTTACCTCCCCAGTAAGTAAACCATTTGCATATCTCACACTTTTTTTGTGTGTGCACTACGCCATCTGCAGGTCCATGTTTACAGTTGGATTTCAGTGTAATTTTTGACAGATAACAGCTAGTTTTTCAGCTGGAAGACGTTAACAGTTAGTGGTTAACGATATGCTGCTATTCTAGTGTTCCTGGTTTAAGTACAGGTTCATTAAACTTGATTTGGTCACAGTAGGAAAATTTTGCTTTCATTTAATCATGTACTTGGTAGCGTAGTTGATTGCATCAATGTCAACCCAGCGTGCATGTGGCACTTAAACCATGCCTTGCGTGATGTGCAGAATGTGTGCGCACTAACAAAAGTAGGCACCGTCCTTAAATTGGATTACTGTAGCTAACAGACTCACTTCAATTCGACTCAATTAAATCTTTCTTGAGGAACATTGAAGCTACTCTTGTTGCAGTGTACGTTTGGNGCATTTTTACGAGATAATTAGCCTTGAATCTCAGCAAAAATGCTGACATCAGCATTTTTCTAAAAAGAAAGAAAGAAAGGATGTTTCTTCACATATTTCTTTAGAATTCGCCGTTACATACAGAAAGGCAAACACATTTATAAAGGTCTTAAAACTAAATGGTAAATAGTAACATAAACACCATTTTTGGTACGTTTTTAATAACAATCGTTGCAACAGTGCTTTTGGCGTCTCTGACAGCCTTCCTCTGGTTCAGCTAAAATACAGTCTAAATACCTTTTGCTCACAACTAGAAACTAATCATGTGTTGAATAGGCTTGCCACTTCCATTTCATAACATAAAATGTAGGGGTAACCACGTGTTTTTTACAGTTATTGATCTTTTTTGAAAAGTTTTACAGTGCCCGTGACATTTTTTCCTGTCACCTCCCCAGTAAAACATTTACGTATCTCGCACTTGTTTTCCGCGCACACTATGCATCTGCAGGTACATGTTTATGGTTGGATTTCGGTATAATATTCGGCACATAAGTGCTAGTTTTTCAGCTGGAAGACATTAACAGTTAGTGGTTAGCGATATGCTGCTATTCTAGTGTTCCTGGTTTAAGTACAGGTTCATTAAACTTGATTTGGTCACAGTAGGAAAATTTTGTTTTCATTTTAGTCATGTACTTGGTAGTGTAGTTGATTGCGTCAATGTCAACCCAGCATGCGCTTGGCGCTTAAACCATGCCTTGCATGATGCGCAGAACATGTGCACACTGACAAAAGTATGCATTGTCCTTAAATGTGTTTCCAAGACTGGTCATATTACACATTCAGATTAAGTAAGATTCAGATTACCTTAACTTTCACATTGCTATGATCAGAACTCAAGTCACTCACCGGGACAACATGTTTCTTTAATTTGACTTCTTCCTCCAGTAGTTTGTAGACGTACTCAGTGATAACCTGAATGCCAAACACAAATACTGGTAGTTAGCATTTCAAATTTAAAGGTGGAAATTTTCACCAACATCATCCAGCATACTATGTTGAGTCTATAATAGCATTAACTCTGTTTACAAGCCTTGGTAATTTATCAGGCTAGCACTTGAAGGGGTGGCGAATGGTAAATGCGAGACCTTGTGAGAAGGTGAGACTAACATTTCTCTTTGTGAGCCCATGACATTTTGACCCCTTTAAATGTGAAACCAAGACTTTAAAGTATTTTAAGGATGTTCACACTAATTGTTTCTGCGCATCCTTACTGTGCACGCAAATTCACATGTCACGTCACGCATGAGCGTGCGCTGAGTAATAAATGAACA